CTGTGTGTAGATGTAGTGTGTCCACAGTCATATTGGAGTGATAGAAACACAATTTTTTTTTTTTACTTCCTGAAGTTAAAATAGAATCCAAATCCCTCCCATTTTGAGGCCCACCACAACGTGACGTAGAAGTGCAGTTTCCCCACCCACCCAATTGATTGACAGACACGTATTAACATGTCTCTGTAGTAATGCATATAATCATATCAACAAGACAGGACGTGCGCAAAGCAACTGAGATTAAAAGATCTGTTCAGCTCTTTGTGATCAGCAGCACCTCAAGAATGAGGTTTACAAGTTTAAAATGTTTTTAAAACAGTGCATGTGTGTAATAAAGACAGGAAAATCACTGTAATCTATCACCACAGCCGCATAGTGTCAGTACAATTATATAAAAAAGATGCTTCAATCCCGGTTTGTGGACCTAAATTAGGCTTATTTTGATTATTAACATAACGGATGTCCATACAGCAGTGGATATTAACATGTGTGTGTCTGTCCACTTTACAAAAATCCATACATGGATGTGTGCTACTCTGAAAAAAAAAATCATTAATAAAAATATCAACAATTAGCAAATGCTATGAAATTGTGTGGCTACAATACATAGCTAGTTTTAATTATGATAGTCTAAAACACGTTCACAAACTGTGTGAGAGAGGATACCAATTGCTGGACTCAGTAAGAAATACTCTGAACAAATTGCCAAATACTGCTCTGTCTGCATGTTTGGAAAAGACATTATCCTTACTTTGCAGATATTCCTTTTAGTATTTATTTACTTCTTTGTGTTGAGCTGATTTGAGTGTTTTGATATTGTCCTGTAAAAGATATTCTGTGACTATAGTTATTTGCACATTGCTTGTACTGTGAAACATAATGGGCTCTTTGTGATTATTTGGATGCTGTAATGATTTAATTAGTACTAGTCATTCCAAATAAAATAATCCAGTGTGTGTGTGTGTGTGTGTGTGTGTGTGTGTGTGTGTGTGTGTGTGTGTGTGTGTGTGTGCTCGATTTTATATATCAAAACAAATAACAGTTGGGAAAATTTTAGCTGTATGAAGAAATTGTGCATTTTTTACATCACAGGTTTACTCACTTTTTGAAGTATTGCTTTTACAGTGTAATAATTATTTTATTTGCATCAAAAGTAATTTTTCAACAGTGTACTGAGTGATATAATACTTCATTACTAGTATAAATAGTAAGGGAGTATCTATGAACAGTAAGGAAGAAATGGTCAAGCATTTCCATCTGCTTTGTTTAGCCCAGCGTTGTGTGGCTGTGCAGAAAGGCGTGCTCATTTTCATAAAGCTCCACATCTAACAGTCAACTCTCTGACCCTCACAAAGCACATTCTGTTCTAGTTTACAGGAGCGGCCCTTACACACAACAAACCACAGACCCCTTATAGAGAGGCAGGTACTTACAGCTAAACAGCTCAGCTTCTGCTTCTGAGATGATGGTTATTGGTTAATGCATGTGCAAAAATGTTACATGCAAAATAGCTTCATGCAATTTCACAAATGTGCCAAGTTATGTTCCCTGCTATGGGCTGTTGAAATATTGAAATGAGAGGCTCATATTGGGGTCTGAGGTTGATTTTGGTGTTGATTGATCAATGTAATTGTAGCTTGTGCTACTTCACGCATACTATATATCAGGGCCGAAGTGGGACTCCTTTTCAGCCCTGGAGTTTTAAGCATAAGACCGGCCCACCTCAGTTCAGGACTGACTATATTAAAATAAGGTCATTTCCAATTCAGTTTCTAATTACACTATGTTTTAGTATGCCCCAAATTTTAGTATGTAAAGCGTTTCAGCATACCAAATAGGTTTTAGTATGGTTTGTGTTTATGCAAGTGAGACAAGTGTGGTGCTAATCGACAAGAGAAGGCACCAATAACGGTCCATACACCATACTAATCAAGCAATACAACTGTTTATTGCTGTTACACACAGCTGATATCAATTATCACAATAATATTCAATAACCATGAATCATACTCATGAACATCATCAATCAAAATATGACAAAATTGCATAAAAGACTTATAATGCGAAATAAAGATGAGATTACATGAATAAAAGACAGATAATGAAAACTTTAAGCAATTTGATACAAGTATATACAACCTCAGAGACGTGCCATCATTTTCCTCTTCAAAGACTGGGGAGCCCGTTGCAGTCACGTTGGAAAACCAACACGTGTGTCCGAGAATGCCGGGCGATGCACGCTTATCCCACAGCTGAGCTTCCAACGTTTCAGCAAGAAACCCTCACCTTTATAGTCAAAATTTGGGTGCTGGCCAAAGGTCGGCCTAATAGGCAAGAGAGAAGTGTGAGTTGATCAGGCCCACCTCCTCTCTCAGCTAGTTGCACATTATTTCTGATTGCAAAGCACTAATTTGAGGTTTGTAGTGTCCGCATGATTTTCTAAAGTCAATATTCTACCTTCGGAAATTTGGTGAAAGTTAACCTTAAGGTCCGGAGACCGTTCTCTGGTTATTTGGTCATGCTTAAGTGTCTATATTTTACCTCCTGAAATTTGGAGAAAGGTGTGAAGTTAACCTTAATGTCATGAGACCCTTCTCTGTTTATTTGGTTCTTTGTTGAGCTCAACAGAAGAAAAACAAAAAATATCTCATTTGTTGCACATTATCACGTCTTTTTCAAGAAAACAGCTGCTTTAGAACTTCAAATATTCAATAACCTTACAGTTTTATATGTCTTAACAATAAATAAATAAATAAAAAACGGAAAAAAAAGAAATACTCAGGTGAGGTTAGAATACGGATCGACGGCGTTGTAACACAACGTGCTGACCACTGGGCCACAATGGCACTGTTACGCTTGTGTGGCAGGCATGGTAGTTACATCATCATTACCCTGCAGGCTGCATTTTGCTCATGGGGCTTCGGGACAATAAAGAAGAAGAGCGGAGCTGCGGCAAAATAATAAATAAAAAGAGTGAGGCTATGGTCAAATAAATAAATAAATAAGAAAAAGAAAGTGCGACTGCTGAGAGTGCAAGCAGCTAGAAACACCGGCCCTCTCGGCCAAAAAACGGGCCGGCCCACCGGGAATTCTCCTGGTCCTCCCGATTAGCCAATCCGGGACTGCCATATATACAGTTGAAGCCACAAATATTAGCCCTCCTGTATATTTTTTTCCCCCAATTTCTGCATGAAATAATACTTTTTTTTCAACACATTTTTAAACATAATAATTTCAATAACTCATTTCTTATAACTGATTATCTTTTATCTTTGTCATGATGGCAGTAAATAATATTTTACTAGATAATTAAATCATCAGCTAAGTGTGAACTCTTGAAACGACAGTCAAACTTCTTGATCTACCGAGTGTGTTCATGACTATACATAAAAAGGAGAATAATAAAATAATTAAATTTGCAGTTTGCAACATTAATTTGCAAAACGAGCTGGTTTTAACGTCTTCAAACCAATAGAAGTGAATGAGACCTGGGGCCTCATGTATCAATGCTGCGTACGCACAAAAACTTTGCGTACGCCAGGTTTCACGCTCAGAATCGCTCACGTTTGGATTTACTAACAATGAACTGAACGTGGGAATGTGCGCAGGTTCACGGCAGCTTTCTGGCAGGCGTACGCACATTTTTTGTGCGTGTCTGTTTTATTTCCATTGGCGACTCCTAGAGGCAGTTGTGTTAAATTCCTCTCTACAAAGTGTCTGAGCCTTGCAATGGCAGCTGTATGAGACGGGTTCAGCAGGTATATAAGGTTTCCATACCATACATTTGACCAGCTAAACATTAAAGCACAATTTGCAGCAGTCGCCTGTTTTTCCAATGTAATCTGAGCGATCTACTGCACGCACATTGCTATAAAGACACTATCTGAAGATGAATTTGCATGCGTGAATCAGAAACATTTCCATTCAATAAATGTGCAAATAAAATATGATGCTTATTGATATGAACTTATTGATGATGCCTACTTGTCTTTCTCATGATAAATAGTTGGCAAAATCTGATATGTAGCGCGGGAAAAAACAAGAAAGAGTTTTTTAGACGCTGGATTCGAGCTGCGTTCATGCTCGAACGTATCAATTCACGATCACAAGCGTCTTACGAGCGCGCCACTGAGACTGCTAGGCGTCCTGTAACATTTTACAGGTATAAACCACACTATTTGTTTTTTTTTAATGCACTCACTGCGATATGTTCAGACCCAACTGTGTTGACCGCATCAGCTAAACTCTCCCACTCTATTTTTTTCTTTTGTTGTTAATTCCGAAGAACAAACTTGCAAATAACACCACTTTTCTCCGGTCTACCTACAAAAGCAGCACCTCCAATTCACATTCTGTTCAAAGTTTCTCTTTTTGCTTGCTTTTTCCATTGCTTTTTCGTTGGGTTTTGCAATTAGCATAGTCATTAGCATATTCATACGGGGGAGGAGGCAGGGAGGGGTTTTGTGCTCGTGCATGTTGCGCTCAGTTTCACGTTCATTCAGATGTACAAAAGAATATGTGAATATGTGAAAAATATGTGAATATGTGAAAGAATAATAGACCTTGATACGTGAGATTCCGCGTACGCAGTGTTTCATACATCTGAAATTTTTTCTGCGTACGCACATTTACAGCTTTGTGCGTACGCAATGTTTTAGTAAGATTTCCACGCAAGTCTTCGTACATGAGGCCCCTGAAGTCTTTATCCAAAAATATTCAAATGGCTGCACCCGCTCATACGTCAAGAATAAGCTCAATATACAGTTCTTTCAGGACATAACCGTTGTTACGTTTTTTCATTTTTTTGCGCCTAATAAACTCATAGTAGTTCAAATGTTGGATATTTCGGGATATTTTAGGTTCTTTGTTTAGTTGTCGAGCTAGATTCTAGGTCTTGAAGCAAAACCACTTATTCAAAGCTTTCAGCAGTAATCCAGCTTCCTTTTCACCACATGTGGGTCAAGTAATCATTGTGTGTGTGTGTGTGTTTGTCTCTGCAGTGTTTCCTGCGTGGCGGGGGGCTGGAGAGGGCCATGGTTGGGGCTGGGCTCAGTGTGTGAGGTGGGAGGCTGGAGAAGGAGGCCCGTCCCGGGGTCTGGAGTGTCCGCTTTGGTGCGTCCTGTGTCGAGGAGGAAGAGACAGACTTAAGCAGGCCTGCCAGATTGGGAGGGGAGCCCTTCGCCTGCCCACAGACATGCTGAGCCTCAGACTACCACAGCTATTCGACATCCACCAGGTGCCAAAGGTGAGAACGGGACGGCCTTTTAAATAGTAATAATGTCACACATTTCAGAAGGGATGCAATTCTGCTACATCAGTCATAATATCCTGAAGAAAAATTGTTATGAATCATGACATTAGTCTAATAAAAACAGCCGTGACTTTGTTAATAGTAATAAGATAAAAATATACTAGAAGATACTAATAAATAGGCGGACACAGTGGCTCAGTGGGTAGCTCTATCGCCTTACAGGAAGAAGGTCATTGTTTCGAGTCCCAGCTGGGACAGTTGGCATTACCGTGTGGAGTTTGCATGTTCTCCCCATGTTGGTGTGGGTTTCCTCCGGGTGCTCTGCTTTCCCCCTGAGTCCAAAGACATGCACTATAGGTGAATTGGTTAAACTAAATTAGCCATAGCCATCCAGAGTGTATGTGAGAGTGAATGGGTCTTTCCCAGTAATAAGTTGCGGCTGGAATGGCATCCACTGTGTAAAACATATGCTGGATAAGTTGGCGGTTCATTTCGCTGTGGCAACCCCTGATAAATAAGGGACTAAGCCGAAGGAAAATGAACGAATGAATGAAAATTAATTGAGCGTTATTAAATTGAAATTGTTTGTTTAAATTCAGCCCAAATTCATTGTTAGCTCACTGCTTTTAATATCTAACTGAGGAATAACTGAAGTAGAAGAACGTTCTTTAGGTGCAAACCATCTGATTTAAGCAGGTTTAGTAAGTTTGATTCGGCTCAGTGATTCTTTTGAATCTGATTCATTCACTGGTTTGAATCAGTGTCTATTTCTGTGGATCACATTTACACTGCACTATTCATAGGTGACTCAATTCCAATTTTTTTCTCTCATGTGGCACAGCTCAGATATGGCCCATGTACGTGTAAGCAGGAACAAATCACATGGATTCCAATTTACTCAAATCAGATTCAGGCCTTGTTCATATGTGGAAATTGATCCGATGTGAATCGGATCGGTGTTCTCGTGTCTGCAGTGTAAGCAGAAAGATTGGATTTTCACCTGTCAATGGGAGTCGCACATCATTAAAAAACATAGCGAATGATGTCAAGTCTGACACTTTCATTTCAGAACAGACTTCAGCAGGGTCCCAAACCTTAAATCTCATGCGCGAGGAATGAAACAGCTTTTATATTGTCATATCGCACAGGTATTTAAGCATGTTAACGAGAGAGAGGGAGCACAATGTCTGCCACGTAAATAATATAAACTAATACAAAACTAGTGCTTACCTACATCAAGTGCATAATGGACATTACATTAAGATGCCTAAAGGTTTAAAAAAGCCTATATATCAAAAGAAGATGGCCAAATAAGAACCTTTCTGTAATAAACTATAGTAAAACAGCTTGTCAAAAGCGGCGAACAGATTACATACAGGAATAGAGAAAATAGCACTCTTTAATTATTAGCTGTTAGTCAGCGGCCACTCTTTTTTTTTCTGCTCACTGTGCCTTTGCCATGTGCTGTGTAAATGCAGACCATCGGATACGAGTCACTTTTAAAAGACGATGTAAGCAGGTCAGCAAAAAAAATCAAATACAGTCACAAAATTGAAATTGACCATCAAGTTTTGCAGTGTAAATGCAGCCATAATGTTGAAGACAACCTTATTAGCTAAAGTTTTATTCTTAGTCAGATATTTCCTAAATGATGTTTAACAGATTCAGGATTTTTTCACAGTATTTCCTATAATATTTTTTCTTCTGGAAGAAGGCTTATCTGTTTTATTTCGGCTAGAATAAACACAGTTCTTAATTTTTATATTTATTTAAGTAATGTATTAATAGATGTGGAAGTGAACGTTAAGTAGGATTAATAGATGCTTTGAATGTGTGTGTATTATTTAATTAATAATTATTTGTAATAAAAGGTGTTCATTAGGGATGTAACGGTATTGTAAATACCGTCATACCGCAATATTAATTTTTTTCGATATTACCGAAGTCGCATGACTCGGTAAAACTATAGGTCTTCTGAGAAAATTTGCTCAGGCGAATGAAGCGAACGGGAGGTAGCGAAAACTACAATCCCCATCATCCCTTGCGGTCTGTTGTCGCTACAGATCCAGTAATGCGGAAATGGAGTGTGCTGCTAGAAGCGGGGATCAAAAAGAGCTGTAAAACTCTAAGGCCCCTTTTACAAGAGTGCATTTTAGTTTTAAAACGGCGTTGTAGAATGAAAACGATCCGCGTCCACACTCGCGTTTTACCCAGCGTTTCTGAACAGCTCTCCGTCCACACCAAAACGCTGAAAACGCACATCACGTGACCACACACACACTCTCGGGCAAGCGCTCCAGCATTTCTACCCAGATGAGAGCTCTGCTTGTCGGACTGCTCATCAAGCATCTCCCGCTGGATCTGATCTCGCTATATTTGCTAAGCGTGATATTTCATTCATGTTGTTGTCTTTATCTAACGACATAGGCCAATTCCCTGACTTTGGTCATTGGAATCTATTAAGTTACTTGTTCACGGGTAACATGTTTTGGTTAAGCGCAAAGATAAGTTAATGATTAATCCAGGTACATTGACTGATCGCTTGCCTTTATTTCCTACAATGTATAAACTTATTGTATGTTATACTTTTATAATTATCGATTATTAAAACTGATATTCAGCAAAAGAGAGGGTGTGTTTCGTATTTTCACTGAAATTGAAAGGAGGCAGTTGTTATCGGCTCCGTTTTGTTATAAATATGCACACAGTGAAGATGACGCTCATATATGCAGCACGGCGCCTCAACATTTCTGCTGTCTGTTAAGTTGCTAATATTAAAAAGAAAATAGGCAGTCCCTTATATCATGTTTACATTTTATTGATGAGAAAGTGAAACAACGTAGCCAGGGTGATGTGAATGAATTTATAAAGTACACTGTTCCCTTTGAAGATTTACCCGTGTCCTCGGTATGTTTTCCATATCAAACTGAGAAGGGGGAGACTGCAGCCTTGATCAAACTTGCGAAGTCTTAACTTACAAGAAGAGGATGCAAGACTGAACTGTGTGTGGGCTACTTAATATTGAGGAAAAGCCCCAATCAGATAGGCGAACGTTTGCAGCCCCGCCTCCGTTTTCAGATGTCTTCGTCTTTCCCCATCCACACTGAGACGGAGCAGCAGCGTTTTAGAATGAAAACGGCCTTTCCAGCGTTTCCAAAAAGCTCCGTTTTCGGCGCTCAAGAAATAAGTCATATAAGTCATATCTCTCTTGTCCCAGAAACCTCAGTACCAAATGAGAGGTTTTTTTTCTGTTGCAGGGGACATTGTAAATGCCCAGAGATACCAGCTTTTACCAGATTATATTTATATGATAATTTTCCTTTAAACCCATCTCTATCTAAGTGAGTGAGTGATTAAATGTTGAATGTGATGAGTTTTCAACAATACTAAATTAAAAACTTAAATTTTTTTTTACATGGTTTAATATTTTTTTTGTTATTAAAATTGAAGTTCCTGTTTCAAAGCTTACAGATAGATGGCTAATTTGTATGTCATTGACACTTTTGGCACTTTTTTGGAGTATTTTCATAAGTTTTGTTTTTTCCTGTAAATGATTCAATAAATACCGTACCGTGACATTGATACCGAGGTATTACCGTACCGTGAAATTCTGATACCGTTACATCCCTAGTGTTCATAGATAACACAAGCAGAATACATTCATAAAACCTGTACTTTTTAAGTTTAGCTGTTATATATTAATGTATTGTTATTATTTATCATGATTTTGCTTTTATGTTATAAAAAAGTCTTGTTTTTATTTTAAAATTGCAAATACAATAAATGCATAAAGGAGTTGAACAAATATCTAAAGCAGTATTACAGTACTGCAGTAAAACCCTTGCTTATTACAAGGAAATGTATCCAACCCTTGCTTATTACAAGGAAATGTATGCAACCCTTGCTTATTACAAGGAAATGTATGCAACCCTTGCTTATTTGTCCCCTTTAAGGGAAATCCCTGGGAAATCCAGCATTATGGTTAAAAGTTACAAGTCGAATAAGTGGAACCAGCCAGTGCAAGACACCGTTTTCAGTTCCGCTTTAATCTGGAGTTCAGCACTGTTTCAGCAGGATTGCATCAGATGAATAACTTGCGTTCAGGGTGTCAAAGTTTTTATTTTTTATTTTCATGTTAAGTTTTTATTTTTAAGACGCATTTAAAAGAAAAAGGTATGGGCAACACTAATAAAGGTTATGTTTGTTGTTTCAGCTTAGTATAACAGCTGTTTTATATGTTTTTGATCTCATGTCATAATTCTTAAAGGTCCAGTTAAATTAAAATAAAGTGTTTTAGATGTTAGTATCAGTATGCTAGTCTTCAAGGATGTATAGAAGCTAGTTTTCTACAAAACAAAGACAAAATTAATGTTTAGAAGATGTAAAACTGATATAAACATGTAAAGCTTGAAGTCTGTCATTTCTGCCTCAATTGATCTGGGGTTTTTTTATGTTACCTCATAGTTTTTCATCAAATCTTGACCATGACATGATCTTGATCTGACATGCCCCGCCCCCTTTAAGACACTTCACATTTGCTTTATGTTTTATGCACTTGAGCTCAGCCACTCTTACTGGCAGAGCTGTAATGAAGCAAAACGTTATTGGCTGCTTTTTAAAAAGGGGAGGAGCTACATGACTCGCCCTCTCTTCATTTTTCAGTGGAGATTACGTCAAACGTTGAAAATAAAAAGCACATTTCAAAGCATTTCACTGCTCTCTTAAAGTCATGAAGCTGCAGGCAAAACATTTTTTTCATGATTGAAAATTTAGAGAGTTTCTTTTTTTAAATGTTCCATTCTGATAAAAAATGCATGTTTAATATGATAATATTTTAAATATGATAATTTTTTAAATTAGTTTTATTATTTTTAACATTAAAAAAATTATAAATCATCTGCAGCACGTACAATACTAAATAATAAACAGTTTTATTAATATCTGTATTCTTAAGGTTTTTACAGAGGGATTTCATTCATCCATTCATTTTCTTTTCCGCTTAGTCTCTTTATTAATTCGGGGTTGCCACAGCAGAATGAATCGCCAACTTATCCAGTGCATGTTTCACGCAGCAGTTGCCCTTCCAGCTGCAACCCAGTACTGGGAAACACCCACATACTCTTGCGCACACTCATATACTCTATAGGCAATTTAGCTTACCCAATTCACTTGTACGGCATGTCTTTGGACTGTAGGGGAAACCGGAGCACCCGGAGGAAACCAACGCAAACATGAGAGAACATGCAAACTCCACACAGAAATGCCAACTGACCCAGCCGGGGACCGAACCAGCGATCTTCTTGCTGTGAGGCAATTGTGCTACCCACTGCGCCACCGTGCTGCAAAAGAGGCATTTGTTATTAGATCATTTTCCTAATCATACAGAACATTTTATTCAGAAAACAATTGTGAAAATTATGGAGTAAGAAAAAGAGACCTCTAAAAACCTAATAAGAACTTTAAAACAGGGGTCACCAATCTCGGTCCTGGAGGGCCAGTGTCTCTGCAGGGTTTAGCTTCAACTTTCCTCAACACACCTGCCTGGATGTTTCAAGTATACCTAGTAAGACCTTGATTAGGTTGTTGAGGTGTGTTTGATTGGGGTTGGACACCGGACCTCCAGGTACAAGTTTGGTGACTCCTGCAGTAAAGTATCAAAAAAAATGTTTAACCTGTATTTTGTCCTATTTTTGTGCTAGAAATGTTTGCAAATCACCACATACTGTACTTAAAAAAAGAAAGAATGTCTCCTTTGCATTTTTAAGCAGCATTTTTAAAAAGTTTTTGCACTTCTTACTTTAATCAATCAATTGGTGAAGTATAGTGATGATAAATATTAATTTTATATTAATTATATATAAATATTTCTTTATGAATAATATACAGTTGAAGTCAGAATTATTAGCCCCCCTGATAAAAATATTCAGGTGCCCTGTGTATTTGTTTCCCCAATTTCTGTTTAACAGAAACGCATTTCTAAACATAAAAGTTTTAATAATTAATTTCCAATGACTGATTTATTTTATCTTTTTTATTTTAATATTCAATTTAAAGGCTTAACTAGGTTAATTAGGCAGGAAAGAGTAACTAGGCAAATCATTGCATAACAGTGGTTTTTCCTGTAGAAAATTGAACAAAAATATTGCTTAAAAGGCACAAATGGTGAAAAATCTACCTTTTAAGCAGTTTGGACAGACATGTGTGTAGGTATAGTGTATATACCATCATATTGGGGGTGAAATAAACACACCCAGTATTTTTCAAATTTAACAACATAAAAACAGTGGACCAATTGGAGCAGTTTTGAGACCTACCACAACTTGACGTAGGAATGCGGTACCCCCGCCCACCGAATTGATTGACACTTGCGTATCAACATATCAACAAGACTGGAGATGTGCAAAGCAACCGGGAAAAAAAGGTCTTTTCAGTTTGCTAGGATCATCAATCATCATCAAATGTGTTTATAACATTTTAAAACAGTGCATGTTTGAAATGAATTACAGCGAATTACGCTTCAATCCCGGTTTGTTGACATTAAATGAGGTTTATTTTGTACATTAACATAACAGATATTCATACAGCAGTGGATATTAACCTGTATCCTGTCACATTTGCGTGTAAAAAGAGTGCAAAGCTAAACAAGCACGCTGTCTGTCTGTCTGTCTGTCTGTGTGTGTGTCTGTGCGTCTGTGTGAGTGTGTTTGTGTGTGTGTGTGTGTGTGTGTGTGTGTGCATGAACTTTGTAAGGTAATAATAAATAATCTGATAGGTGTTTTGAGCTGAAGCTTTACAGACACATTCTGGAGACACAAAAGACTTATATTAAGTCCAGAAAAAGGGGTAACCTGAGTCCCCTTTAAGTGGGCTAATAATATTGACCTTTAATGTTTTTTTTATTATTATTAAAAACGATTTATTTAAAATGATTTTTTAAAATTAAAACTGCTTTTATTCTAGCCAAACTAAAACAATAAGACATTCTCCTGAAGAAAAAAATATTTTAGGAAATACTGTGAAAAATTTCTTGCTCTGTTAAACATCATTTGGGAAATATTTGAAAAGAAAAAAAATCACAAGAGGGCTAACCATTTTAACTTCAACTGTATAAATCGATTTTTTTAGTCACCTATTCATCTGCAGTGTCTCGTCTTAAATGTTGGTTTAATGTTTGCATGTGTTTCAGTTACTCGTGTTCATGTTTGCAGCTGTTTCAGTGTTTGCATGTGTTTCAGTCACCCGTGTGCGTGGTTGCAGGTGTTTCGAGAGGATGGCATCATGTCTGGGTATCGTCATCCCAGGAGCTCAGCGCTGGACTGCATCCTCAGCAGTTTTCAAATGACCAACGAGACGGTCAATATCTGGACACACTTCCTGCCGACCTGGTAAAGAGCCCAGTTCCACATGTGATCTCCTGTTAGTGCCAGAACTAGCAGTCTTTCAGCTTTGTTTGGGCTGCTTTGTTATGCAAGTATGATTTAGCTTATAAGCAGACTCTTATAGGCTCTTAAATCTTAGACTCTTAAATCTTATCAGATTTTACAGACACTAAACGCATTACTTGGAGAGTAATATTCGTGTTAACTAATGCATTTTATATTGTTTTACATTTTATAGTGAACCTATTATGATGAAAACATAAGAATTCAATTTATAAAACAATGGAGTTATAACACAATGTCACCTTAGAATTATAAGGTTCTGTCTGCGTTCTAAAGGATTTTGAGATATTGAGCTTCAAAGTTTTTGCATTCCATATAGCAAACATTATGCGTGTAACAGTTCTCTTTCATACATTAACATGACAGGGACCCTAAGGGCTCTCTAAATGTAAATAATCAAAGTTCTCTTACATTTGCAAATTGAAGTAAATAAATCACGGTTAATGCAGATAGAACCTTTTAATTCTGAAAAGTATTTTCCACTTGGAATTATAAGGTTCTATCTGGCAGTTCATTCATTGAAGCATTACTTTTCAAGAAATACAATCAAAATATATATAATTTGGTGTTGAAACAATATGTTGATGCTTAAGAAATGGATTTTTTTTGCTTTCTGTAACATTTATTTTGTGTTTTAGGATGAATATATTTTCTTGTTCATATTTAGCATTCAAGGCTGTGCTTAAGATTGTTTTCCAGCGCAGATGTTAATTTTATCGATAATTAATATGTTAATATTTATTAATTTGCATCCTAATATGAATTATTGAATTAAATTTATTGAATTATATACCCCATGATTTAAATTAAGTATTTGCCCTTCAAGGCTTAAAGTTAAATTTAAAGACTTCGTAACAGACGATGAACAAATGAGTTTAATAAACACTGTAAAGTGTTTCACTGACTATATGTAAACAAATAAAAATATTTCACATTTAATATATACATTTTTTAATATTCATTTATTTTTCAACAATGTAAAATTGAACATTTCATCTCAATGTCGGCGACACAGTGGTGCAGTGGGTAGCAAAATTGCCACACAGCAAGAAGGTTTCTGGTTCGAACCTCGGCTGGGTCAGTTGGTATTTTTATTTATATTTGGTAATTTAATTCATTCAAAACATTTAATTGATAGATGTAATTAAACTATGCTTTTTTGAAGATTAACAGGAAACGAAAGGTTATGTTAAAATTAGAAATGATGATGTGTTTTAAAGGCATTTCCCCAACATTTTGCCTCTCTTCTCAGAGGGGATGGAGGGCCAAATCAAAGATTATCATGAGCCCATGGGCACTAGTTTGGGCATCTCTGCAATCTTAAACTGTACTTATTAGTTAACCAAGCACAGGGTGCTATGCTTAAGGTTGGTATATTGCTTGTCAATAAATGCAGTTGTCATATGATATTTGTAAAATACATTTATAAAACATGATTAATAAAAGGCTTCAATTACACCCTGTAATCTGTGATCGGTATCGGTCGATATGAATTCAAGTTTTCGGTGATCGGCCCCAAAAATCCTGATCGGAGCACCTCTAGTTTCCTCCACAGTTCAAAGACATGTGCTTTAGGTGAATTAGTTGTAGTGAATGAGTGTGTATGGGTGTTTGACAGTACTTTGTTGCGGCTGGAAGGGCATCCACTGCGTAAAACATATACTGGAATAGTGGGCAGTTCATTCCACTGTGGCGATCCATGATAATTAGACTAAGCTGAAGGAAAATGAATGAATGAACAATACATACATGTCAATATTCTGCTCAATCAAATAATTTACAAATGAATGTTTTGTGGCTTTACTAATCAAGTCCAATCTGTATAATCACACACAGTTGGACTTAAATGAAGGTGTAGAACCATTTCAAGGATGATCAAAAGAAATGGACCGCACATAACCTAAATATTAGATCTTCACAGCAAAGGGTCTGAATACTAAATACTGATGTTTTAGTAAATCTGCAAAAATATCAACAATTCTGTGTTTTTCTGTAAGTTTGGGTTGCTTCGTGTACATTAATAAAGAAAAAATGAACTTAATTGATTTTGGCAAATGACTGCAATGTAACAGAGTGAACATTTTAAGGGGGTCTGAATACTCTCCGTACCCACTGTAACTGAAATACACAACAGCAAAAAAGAATTATAATAACTATCTGACCTGCTCTCCTTCTCCTGTATTGTAGGTATTTTCTGTGGCGGTTCAGCGTCCTGTGCTCATCTCTGGACTTTGTGACGGATAGCTACACCTGGCCGCTGCTGGTCTACATGCTGCTGATCTGCCTTTATCCCTTCACCTCCAGCTGCGCTCACACCTTCAGCACCATGTCAGCCGAAGCTCGTCACATCTGCTACTTCTTCGACTACGGAGCGCTCAGTCTCTACAGTCTTGGTACGAGCTGCTTTTTGGGTCATCCTAGTGTGAGGGACGGAGGAATTCCTGATGCCTTTTTAACTACATCTGTTAAAGCTCTTCATGAGTTCTCAGCTGATACAGACACCATTAATCGTGTGCAAAATGACGTTTGTTCAAACTACTTATTTAAAATGAGCTAAAACAACACAATTCTTGATTATTGTTTGGGACAACTTAATTGTTTTATGTTCAATTTACAGGGTGGGCCATTTATATGTATACATCCTAATCAAATGGGAATGCTTGGTGATATTAACATCCTGTTTATGGCACATTAGTATATGTGAGGGGGCAAACTTTTCAAGATGGGTGGTGACCATGGTGGCCATTTTGAAGTCGGCCATCTTGGATCGAACTTTTGTTTTTTCAATAGGTAGAGGGTCATTTGACACATCTAACTTATTAGGAATTTCACAAGAAAATCAATTGTGTGAATGGTTTTAACATAACTTTATTCTTTCATGAGTTATTTACAAGTTTATGACCACTTATAAAATGTGTTCAATGTGCTGCCCATTGTGTTGGATTGTCAATGCAACCCTCTTCTCCCACTCTTCACACACTGATAACAACACCGCAGGAAAAATGCCAGCACAGGCTTCCAGTATCCGTAGTTTCAGGTGCTGCACTAATATATGTCTACAGCATCTTCCGTTTCACAAAGACATCAAAGTATCTTTATATTTTTGTACATATTGATCTGAAAGTACAATTTTGCAGTATCAATACTAGGGCTAGTTTTCTTCACAAGAAGAGTACTTTTAGGATGTAGTATAAACAGACGAATTGGGACACAGCAAGTTTAAAGATGTAAAGCTGTTCAACATTTATTTCAGGGAGAGGCGAGAGTTGAGATGTTCGAAACCTAGCAGTAAATAGGTTAAAAAGTGATTCTGATTCAGAGTTTTCAAGTTTGGTATGTGACTACGGGGAATTTGGTAGGCTTAGACCACAGGTGTCAAACTCAGTTCCAAAAGGGCCGCAGCTCTGCACAGTTTAGTTCCAACCCTAATTAAACACACCTGATCAAACTAATTGAGTCCTTCAGGCTTGTTTGAAACCTACAGGTAAGTGTGTTGGAGCAGGGTTGGAACTAAACTGTGCTGGGCTTCGGCCCTCCAGGAATTGAGTTTGACACCCCTGGCCTAGACGATCTATATATAGTTCATAGATATATACATTAGATGTCACCTACCCTGTTGTTGTCTTTTGGAAGGAATGCGTCAATTGAGCCGCCGTTTTAGTACAGGGTAGCACTCCTTTGAAATGAATGCGGGACCAAGCTCAGTGGAGAACTGTGGCCATCCAGAGCCAGAGATATGCACATTTATACAACAGTTCTGTCTGGTTCTTAAATCTGATTGGCTGATAGCCGTGATATATTTAAAGTAATATCAGCACCCGTAAAGCCTCTTTACCCTTTGTGTATTACTCCGCCCACATACAACCAGCAAAAAGCACACACTACAGATCTAAAGTTTAAAAGATGCACGCTCAGCTATTTAACTGTCAGCTTATGATTTGAATCCAAGGTGGAAGAAAGTAGTTCCTCATACAAAAGGGTTTTTGAGACTCTCCATGTTTGATTTTGTTTTTATATACACAATTATGCCGTCAAACTGTTGTATAAACGCAATATCACACGAGTAGCAGTGCGATATGCGGCCTCGTGTCAACGTACGCCTCCCACCAGTGCTGATCTACAGCCATATCGCACTGCTACTCGTGTGATATTGCTCATATAGCTCCTTCATTACTTACAAGTTTCTGGCACTGCAGCATCTTGTCAGATTTCTTTTGCATTGTTTGCCAATTTTATTCAACAAAACTAGCATAAGCTGAGTGTTTTGTGCGAGTTGGTGCTATTTTGCCTTATGGTGAACGCATTAAGAGACTGTATTATCATCAAAAATGTTACTTGTTTAGCACAAAAGTTCACAACATAAAAAAACGTAAAAAACTAAACCTTGCCTATGAAATGTTCTGCCTTTGTGCTTAGTTTTCTTTGTTTGCTTGTTACTACACCCGTAGACAGCGCTAAAGTCCAGCATCTTCACATAGTAACACTGTCTTGACTAGTGAGGTTGAATGATATGTGCCTTGGGAGCACTGTACAAATATGGCGGCGCTATTGACTCATGCTCAAAGTCCGTATGCGATATCTAGTGTATAAATATCTATGTATTTAGTTAATGTTAATTAAGATTCTTTCTATATTGTGTGTATGTAAGCATACGTGAAATGCTTATGCACACTAAAAAAATCTATAATAAAAAATCATGACAACAAACATTTTTATGTTGCTTTGACTTAATTTAAAAAGTGAATCAGGCTTCAACTAAGCTTATTTTTAGTTAGTTTTTTGTTATACAAAGTTTAACATAATATTATTAGTCCGTTTGGCTGATTTAAGCCAGTCAAAAAGTGAATGCAATGCAGAGATACTATCCATTAATCAAGTTTTGAATTGAGGGTGTAATGACGGGGGGGAGAGACAGAGACAATAGGAGGTAAGATCCACAATGCAGGTTTATCCAGTGTCAGGCAAGCAATGATCAAACAGGTGCAAACGGGTATATTCAGGCAGTCCAGAATCGTAGCCGTGTAAACAGGCAATAGGTTGTAAGGCAGGAGGCTAAACAAGGAAGAACAAGGCTAGGGTCTAAACACGGAGATAAACAAAGACAGGGAGAAACGCGTTGTAATGTCACTAGTTGTAAACAAAACTCGGCAAACTAGATGGGTGAAAGAGTGGCTTATGTAGGGTGTGTAATCAGTCTCTGACAAGGCTCAGCTGGTGAGAATGCAATCAGTCTTGATGAGTGAGCATGTGTGAGTGTTACCGGAGAGCATGTGTGAATATGTAGTCCAGGGGAAGGCGGAAGTGTAGTCTATAGTGTTCTTGTGAGAACCAGCGGTCTCTGGAGAGCGATCGCTGGTTATGTGACAGAGGGCAAGCTAATAATCTGCTGTTTTTCCATTAATATTAATCCAAGAACAAAAAAAAGAGAATCATTCAATACGATCGGCTGAATTCTGATGAAAAATAAAAAGAGACAGTAATATAAACAACAACTAAAAGTTGCCATGCAGGGAATTCTGGGAAACACAAATTTGCAGAAATTCCTGGTATATAGTAAGTAAATGTGTTATTAACCAGCTAACTTTTACTGTTTTTTTTTTTTTTTAAACCGTTAGAATCCCAGACATTTTTTTACACTATATATGATCACTTCTTATTTCTGTCAGGGTTTCAGGAAGGATGAGGGAGCGAGGACTCAAGTGCAAACAGGATGATTTATTGATAATAAAAATAAAACAAAATTAGAACAAAAACCACCCCGAGGGGGAAAAACATAACTATGACACTAACAAACTAACTTGGCTGGCATGACAAGAGCAGGAACACATGGGGAGTTTAGACGACAAACTGGCACAGAACAGAAAACATGAGGGGATTATAAAGCAAAAAGTAAATTGACACAGGTGAACATGACAAACTAATAATGAGTTAACAAGGAGGGTGGGACTAGACAATAGACGGGAGAGCGCATGACACAGAGAGACAACACAAGCCATGCGCTCAGGGCCAGAACATGCAGCCAATGAGAGAACTCATTAACCGCATGTTCATGACAAGACATAACACAACACTGAAGCACACGGCAAAAGCACGTGACCACAATGTAAACACCGAGCCACGTGCTTTGACAAGAGACGCAAGACACGAGCACACGATAGATAAACACCTTACCGTGCGCTCACACATAAGCAACGCGCATGCTTCATCTCAGCGCCAACCAAAACTGAAACCAACTAGACAGAGGCGCCGAGAATAAAGCAGCACGATACTGACAGAACAAACACAAACACTAGTACAAGAGCGCGCGCGTCTAAGAAACGCAGCGCGTGCGCGGCCACATCAAGCGGCAGTGCGCGAACTCCGCGTACACCCACGACGGCGCGCGCGCACACAGAGACAGAAACAGGACCAGACATGGGTAGTGTCAGAGCTCTGCCACCAAAACAAGAATTTACAAGACCAGAGTGGCAGAATCCTGACAATTTCATACATTTGAATGATCAGAAATTATTTTGGTGTCGTTTTTTAGTTACAACTACATTACATTCCTATAGCTCAACATTGGCAGCAACGCCAATGGCATTGGTTTGATTTCAAGTGAAAGCGTGAATGGATGAAATCTATATCTCAAATGCTTTAGATAACAAGCGTTGTGCAAAAGAATCCAATGCAAAGGCATGCGTCGCTGTGAGATAAATGTACCAGAATCTGCTGTCCTTGACAGGATACAGAAAACCTGACTGTAGGCCAGTGAAAAAATAAAAGAGGCACAGTCTTGATATATAACGCTGATGTTATATCAGAGGCTTTCATGGTGCTAGAAATGAATGTGTCTTGTAAGGTTGATGCGAGGTTATTTGTAAGGTTGATGCGAGGTTATAGGCGTTTGGAGGAAATGAGGCATCAAACACACACCGACTGTGAGTTCAAAGGCAAACGCTGGAGCTAAAGCTTTAATGTCTGCATTGATGAAGAGTGAAGGCTGAAGAAGTGCACGTATTGTTAAAGCCACTTAAGAAACCAAGTATAAGCGGCATTTTAATATGGGCTGGAACACTTCACCTTACGTTTGAGTGATTTATTAATGTGCCTTTTAAACATTAAAGACTCTTTTTTGTTGTTGATAAAAGAGCGATTATCCTTTCAAGATAAAAAAAATTGATTTATACGGTTGAAGTTAAAATGATTATTTTTATTGTTTTTAAAAGTTTTTCCTAAGTGATGTTAACAGAGAAAGGAAATTTTCGCAGTATTTCATGTATATATATATATATATATATATATATATATATATATATATATATATATATATATATATATATATATTAGCCCCCCTGTTTTTTTTTTCTCCAATTTTTGTTTAACGGAGAGAAGATTTTCTTAACACATTTCTAAACATATTAGTTTTAATAACTCATGTCTAATAACTGATTTATTTTCATTTTTTGCCATGATGACAGGACATAATATATGCTAGATATTTTTCAAGACACGTTTATACAGCCTAAAGTGACATTTAAAGGCTTATTTAGGCTAATTAGGTGGTGTTTAAAAATGTAAAAATGTAATAACTGCTTTTATTCTAGCCGAAAAAAAAACAAATAAGACTTTCTCCAGAAGAAAAAATATTATCAGACATACTGTGAATATTTCCTTGCTCTGTTAAACATCATTTAGGAAATAAAAAAAAAAAAAAAAAAATATATATATATATATATATATATATCAAATGGGGGCTAATAATTCTGATGTCAACTGTATATATATATATATATATATATATATATATATATATATATATATATATATATATATTCCCTCTCATCTCCTGCAAGCCATCTCTCCTGAAGTCATACCAGCACTGCCTCACATAATTAACACATCTCTTGACTCTGGTTTATTCCCCACTTCATTTAAGCAGGCTAGGGTAACCCCACTGCTAAAGAAACCCAACCTGGACCATACGCTACTTGAAAACTACAGACCAGTATCCCTGCTTCCATTCATGGCCAAGACTCTGGAGAAAGTAGTGTTCAATCAAGTCCTGGACTTTCTTACTCAAAACAATCTCATGAACAACAAGCAGTCCGGCTTTAAGAAAGGCCACTCAACTGAGACTGCCCTGCTCTCGGTCGTGGAGGATCTCAGACTGGCTAAAGCAGACTCTAAATCATCAGTCCTCATTTTGCTGGACTTGTCAGCTGCTTTTGACACTGTCAACCACCAGATCCTGCTATCTACGCTCGAGTCACTGGGCGTTGCGGGCACTGTTATACAACGGTTCAGATCTTACCTCTCTGACAGGTCATTCAGGGTGTCTTGGAGGGGAGAGGTGTCCAACCTACAGCATCTAAACACTGGGGTACCTCAAGGCTCTGTTCTTGGGCCACTTCTCTTCTCCATCTACACGTCATCCCTAGGACCAGTCATCCAGAGACATGGATTCTCCTACCACTGCTATGCTGATGATACCCAGCTATACCTCTCTTTTCATCCTGATGATCCCTTGGTTCCAGCTCGCATCTCAGCCTGCCTGTTGGATATTTTACACTGGATGAAAGATCATCATCTTCAGCTGAACCTCGCAAAAAACGGAAATGCTTGTAGTTTCTGCCAACCCGACTCTACACCATAACTTTTCAATCCAGATAGATGGGGCAACCAAGGTGAAAAGCCTTGGAGTAATGATTGATGACTAAGTAAACTTCTCTGACCACATTTCTAGAACTGCTCGATCGTGCAGATTCGCACTCTATAACATCAGAAAGATCCGACCCTTCTTATCTGAACATGCAGCTCAACTCCTTGTTCAAGCTCTTGTTCGCTCCAAACTGGATTACTGCAACTCTCTACTAGCTGGGCCTCCAGCTAACTCTATCAAGCCTCTTCAGCTGCTCTAGAATGCAGCAGTACGAGTGGTCTTCAATGAAACTAAACGAGCACATGTCACTCCGCTGCTACTCCGTTTGCACTGGCTGCCAGTTGCTGCTCGCATCAAATTCAAAGCTCTGATGTTTGCCTACAAAGTGACTTCTGGCCTTGCTCCATCTTATCTGCTCTCACTTCTGCAGATCTATGTGCCCTCCAGAAACTTGCGTTCTGTGAATGAATGTCGCCTCGTGGTTCCATCCCAAAGAGGGAATAAATCACATTTGCGAACGCTCACGCTCAATCTGCCCAGTTGGTGGAATGAACTCCCTAACTGCATCAGAACAGCAGAGTCACTCGCTATTTTCAAGAAACGACTAAAAACTCAACTATTTAGTCTCCACTTCACTTCCTAATCTGCAATTGCCTCTCTGGATATCACACCAACTGTACCCAAAAAGAAAAAAAAGAAAAAAAAATACTAATACTACTAATACTTTCCTTCTTAGACTTTACAGACCTGAAACTTGCCTATAGCACTTATTCATTGTTGCTCTTATAGTTGTGTAAATTGCTTCCTTGTCCTCATTTGTAAGTCGCTTTGGATAAAAGCGTCTGCTAAATGTAAATATATATATATATATATATATATATATGATGGTCATCTGTTCAATATCCTGCGTGTAAAGCTGTACGTTTTGTGCTCTAGTAGTCTAATACAAATATTATTCTTTCATTTGTGGAATTCACCGCTGCATGGTTACGGTTCAAGAAGTGGCTCAGAAAGGCCTCTTTTATTGGCAGAATAGCTGGATCTGTGCAGCAGCCGAGGGAATGTGAATGTTTGTGGACATAGTACAATAGCCAAACATTACAAAGGAAAAAAAAAATCTATGAAATGTGCATGCTTTATACAATGCTTGCCTCCAAAAAATTGTGCGGTACATACTGTACAGTCCGCATTTTCACAATAGTAAAACTTACAACTTTAGAATAGTTTTGTAGGAGCTGTGTTTTCTTGGAAATAATAAATCACTTGGTTATTATTTTCTGTGAAGGTCTCGGTGAAGTTTTGTCGTAGTCTGTTCTTCTAGGGTTTGTTGGAAATCTACACAGGATACTCAAGAAAAATAAAAGTAGTTTGGTAACATGAATTTATTATTATTATTATTATTATTATTATTATTATTATTATTAAAATTTGCATGCACTAAATTAAAACTAAAACTAGGACCACACCATCAGTTTTTTAGATTAATTTTAAAGACACATATTTACTGACTGAGATTTATGTGTAGAGTTTGCATATTCTCCCTGTGTTTGTGTGGGTTTCCTCCGGGCGCTCTGGTTTCCCCCAAAGTCCAAAGACATGTGGTATAGGTGAATTGGGTAAGCTAAAATTGGCCATATTGTATGTGTGTGAATGGGAGTATGGATGTTTCTTGGTGATGGGTTGGGGCTGGAAGGAACTAATCTAACAAAAAATAACCTGAAGGTCAGTCCAAAAATTACTACACCCAAATTGATATATTGGGGAAAATGTTGAATAAAATTGTAATAGACAGGGAAAAAAATCAACAGAAACAAAATTTAGTTGAAATGTTGTAGTTTGAATTTGTTTCATTTGCAATAACTTAAGTGAAATAAAATGGCATCAAATTACGGCAGTCAAAAAGTTTAAATTTAAGACTTGAAGACTTGGCCTGAGAGTTAACCTACCCCGGACCAGACTAGTTTTCCAGCCTAAGTTGCTAGAGTAACTGAGTTTGAACTACCATAAATTTGATTTATGAAACAGAATCCGCCATTAATAAACCTAACGTACCATATAAAGTCTTATTTGTTTTATTTTGGCTAGAATAAAAGCAGTTTTTAATTTTTTAAACACCATTTTAAGGTCAAAGTTATTAGCCCCTTTAAGCTATTTTTTTTATCGAGTCGTTATTTTATTTTATTTTATTTTATTTTAAAGTTGGCGGCTCATTACGCTGTGGCGACCCTGGATTAATAAAAGGGACTAAGCTGACAAGAAAATGAATGAATGAATTTTATTTTATTTATTTTTTATTTTATTTTATTTTATTTTATTTTATTATGAGTGCTGGACCAAAAATTAATCCCGATCAATCCAAAATAAAAAATTGTTTGTGTGTTACTGTTTATTTATTTTCTATATATAAAAACACAAATGCATGTATATGTTTGAAAAAATGTTTATTTATATTCAGAATAAAATATATTTAGAATATAAATATTAAAATAAAATATTTAGTGTACAGTATATGATACAAATTATATATTAATTTAAATATTTATATAACAAAATTGTTTTGTATGGTTTTGTTTCTATGTATATGTGTGTGTATCTTCTATACAAAATAAATATATAAAGTACACACACTTATAATATGTCAAAACAAGCACGATTAATCTATGCGCAGCACTATTTTTATTTTATGCTACTTTACGTGATGGTATTTATTTAGCTGTATTTTATTCTTTTTTTAATTATTTATTTTTTATTTTATTATGTTTATATATATGTATATATATTTTTTATTTTACTTTAGTTGTAGTTGTTGTGGGCGTTGCGATAGCACAGTGGGTAGCGATGTTGTCTTACAGCAAGAAGGCTGTGGGTTTGAGCCTTGGCTGGGTCAGTTGGCATTTCAGTGTGGAGTTAGCAGGTTCTCCCAGTGTTTGCGTGGGTTTCCTCCACCAGTCCAGTCCAAAGACATGCTATGGCAAATTTGGTAAGCTAAATTGCCCGTAGTGTGTGAATGAGTGTGTATGGATGTTTTCCAGTGATGGGTTGCAGCTGGAAGGGCATCTGCTGCATAAAAAATATGCTGGATAAGTTGGCGGTTCATTCAGCTGTGGCGACACCTGATAAACTGAATGAATGTTGTTGTTGTTGTTGATCATACATGCATATGTTGTAAATATGCTCTTGTGTTTTCCAGGCTGTGCCATCTCATACGGGTCCTACGCTATGCCCGACAGCTGGGTCAACAGTTGGCTTCACCAGCATTTCGTGACCATCGGCATCTGCAACTCTCTCTTCTGCACCAGCATGTCCTGCTACACCAGGTGAGGGCTCTTTCAGAGGCTAATTATGGCTAATTAACTGAGTCTGTGATTACAGGAGCTAATGTACATGTCATTTCAGAATAAGTGGGAGTTAATTACGTAACGCAAGTCCTTCTCACACAGACTTTGTTTGTCTGGAGCTTGAGTGTGCTTGCACAAAAGCTTTAGTCATTTTTTTTTTTGAGAGAGAAATTATTTACAAAAGGGCTTAACTGCTTGTTGAATTTACTGAATTGTTTAGTTCTGCATCGGTAAGCAGCTCTATTGCTCAAATATATAATGTTTAACTGGAACGTAACTCGCCTTATTCTGAAACCTTATAATCATTGTTGAAAATAAGTGTGTGGTTTGCTTTTACGAACAAATGGATTTATGATTTGTGTGTGGAGGAGAATGAAATTGTCAGTTAATATATACACAGAGATCATCATAGAGATGTGTGGTTGGTGTCTTTAGACTTGTCTGCCTAGCAACTGTCAACAATATCCTAGCAGCCACATAAAAACACATTGGTATTGTGCTGGATATTTTCTTCAGTGAATGATAAAATATGTGAAAATATTATTATTGTTTAATGTTACATTATATATTTAGATATATTATGTAAAATAATAATAATATTTAATTATACTTACACTACCTGCCAAAAGTTTGGGGTTAGTAGGATTTTTAAATGTATTAAATAAGCTTCGCCTACTCACCAAGACTGCATTTATTTAATCAAAAATAAATTGTAAAATTTGATTGCACTATAAAATAACTGTTCAAAAGTAGTTTATTTTAATAATTTATTCCAGTGATTTTAAAGATGAAAAAGCTTCATTACTCCAGTCTTCAGAGTCACATGATCCTTCAGAAATCACTCTAATATTAATTATTACTCATTCATTCATTCATTTTCTTTTCGGTTTAGTCCCTTTATTAATCTGGGGTCGCCACAGCGGAATGAACCGCCAACTTATCCAGCATATGTTTTACACAGTGGATGCCCTTTCAGCCACAACCCATCACTGGGAAACATCCATACATTATTATATACACACACACACATACTCTACGGGCAATTTAGCTTACCCAATTGACCTACAAATAAATACAAATAACAATCAAATTGCATGCCACAAAAGTCAATTTGACTGCAAGATTTTATTGCAGTCGGGCTTTGAGTAGGTATGACTGTAGAAAAACTTTAGAGAGGTGTGTGATGAGATTTAACTGTTCTATCCCTATTTTTGTATTACAATCTTAAATGCCAAAATTGAAACCGAATGTTAATTGGAATTGGTTAATAGTATTATGGTGAACTCGTAGCAAACTTGACTTGTGCATGTGTAGGCTGCTGAGGGTTGACGGAGCATTATTGTATTTTGAAGTCGATTAAATTATTGGTAGGCACGTTTCAGTAATTGGTGGATATTGGTGGGGACACGTCCCCTCCATCCATGCCAATTCTACGTCCTTGTGTGGGGGAAACCAGAGCACACAGGGGAAACCCACGCCAACTCCACACTGAAATGCCAACTGACCCAGCCGGGGCTCAAACCAGCAACCTTCTTGCTGTGAGGCGATCGTGCTACCTTTTGCGCCACTGGGCTGCCTATTATTATTATTATTATTATTATTATTATTATTATTATTAGTAGTAGTAGTAGTAGTAGTAGTAGTAGTAGTAGTAGTAGTAGTAGTAGTAGTAGTAATAAAAGCAATTATGACTGGAGTAATCATTTCATTTGAAACTACATACAATATGAAAGCAGTTATTTAATATTTTTAAAAATATTTAACAAATTACCTTTTTTTACATAACAAATGCCACCTTGATGAAAAGAATAATTTTCTTTAAAAAAAAACATGAAAGAAAAACTGACATCAAACTTTTGACCAATAGTCTATAAAACAAATATTTTTATTAAATGTGTCACAAAACAAACAAAAAAAAAATGTTAAACATGCATCTATTGTAGCTTTTTCATTATTATGTTATGTTTTTAAAAAATATTTTATAAAATTTTTTATTATATATATTATTATATATCATCAAAGCGTGACTGGTTTCTTAAACATGACAATGAGTTCACTGTACTCAAATGGCCTCCACAGTCACCAGACCTCAATCCAATAGAGCACATTTGGGATGTGGTGGAACGGGAGATTCGCATCATGGATGTGCAGCCGACAAATCTGCAGCAACTGCGTAATGCTGTCATGTCAATATGGAGTAAAATCTCTGAGGAATATTTCCACTACCTTGTTGAATCTATGCCACAAAGGATTATGGCAGTTCTGAAGGCAAAAGGGGTCCAACCTGGTACTAATAAGGTGTACCTAATAAAGTGGCCTGTGAGTGTATATACCTTACTATAACCTAGGTTGACCGAAGTGCTTTTCACCAGTAAAAACAAATTATGTAAAACAACTAAAAAGCAAAAAGTGCAAAACCAATACAAGATTAAGAAATATCAATAAAATACAGCAAAACATTAAAACAGAGAAAAGTGTCACTACTGGGCAAAAAACAAACATCTTAAACACATGGGTCTTATTGTTAACATTTATAAACATTTCTAAATTCTAAAATGTAAGAACCCCATATGAACAAAGCATATACTGTAGTCTACAATATTTAAGGTGTTTTCCTTTCCTACAGGTTCATAGAGCTGCAATTTCCACACAAAAGTAAAATCCTGCGAACGTCTGCATTTGTAGTCCCCTTCCTCTTCGACAGCTTCCCACTTTTTTACAGAGTGAGTAAAACCACACACGGTTACACATGTAAAGCAGATAAATACTATGAATGCTTATGCAGAGATATGATATGACTGATAGGAAAGCACCATTCATGCACAGTCTCTTTCTCTCCGCTTGTGTGTGTGTTCCTAGCTGCTGTCGTGCTGTTGGGGGAGCTGTAGTCCCAGTGAAGCTCTGGCCAGTCATTCCTACCATCTGCTCTTTGCCTTTCTCACATGTTTTCTGTTCGCATCGCACCTCCCTGAGAGACTCGCTCCAGGCCGCTTCGACTACATCGGTACTTCATTCTTAATGATTTCACCCTTGTTTTTGGCCCTGTTTACACCTGCTGTTAGGAGGCATTTTGGCTGATCGGATTGCAAGTAAATGAGGAGACACATTGCCGTTTTAACCTGGTGTTTGAGGAGAGATGCTGTAAGCTGTGAGCTAAAACTCTTTGGTTTATCATACATTTAATAGTGTTTTACTATATTAAAGTTAATACAGTTAATTTAGTGTTTTACAGGCTAACCTAATGACCAAAATACACTTTTCAATATTATATGGCACTTTATGAATTTGAGTCTGTAGATTTTCAATACACAACATTGTTTATATATATATATATATATATATATATATATATATATATATATATATATATATATATATTTTTTTTTAAGGGCTTTTCACCTTCATTGATAGGACAGTGGAGATTGACAGACAGGCTAGTGAGGGGAGCAGAGATAGGGGAAGGATTAGCAAAGGACCTCGAGCCGGGAATCGAACTAGGGTCGCCGTGAGCATCTGGATGCTATGCCTCGACACACTAACCACTAGGCTATTGGCGACGACAATACACAATATTGTTAATGGCTGTTTTATTTTTACTGAATTAATTTACTGAATTTTGGATGAATTATTTGAAACAGTGGTTTTCAAAGTTTTTTCACCAAGCACCACCTCAGAAAAAAAATTCTATCCTAGTACCACCATAATAATCAGTATTGAAGTACAGTAGCATAATAGGCCCAATTAAGCAGCTACAACTCTGCGCAGTTCAACAACGTGGCAGATTAATTTTTCTTATTAAGAATATGTATATTGTCAGCCACTTTAAACATTATAAATAGCTTGAACTTTAACACTGCACTGTGCTTACAGATAAAAAGAAATAAATAAAAGGTCAATGTTGAAATTAAAATGTTCTTTTAAAAGTTAATAAAAATGGCACTGTTCTTAAAAGGTTAAGAGAAAACTGCTGTACATAAATGTAAAACATTATCATATAGTAGCCTGTTCGTCAAAACCTGGAAATGTTCCTTGGACGTCATAAATATAGACAATATGTTGTCTTATTCATGTATAAACCCCTTTTTGCTAAATTTTTTATTATACAAATAAGACATACACTGCATCTAGAAATTATTCACAGCACTTCACTTTTTCCACTTTTTTATGTCACAGCCTTATTCCAAAATGGATTAAATTCATTTATTTCCTCAAAATTATACACACAATACCCCATAATGACAATGTGAAAAAAAGAGTTTTTGAAATTGTTGCAAATTTATTAAAAATAAAAAAAACTGAAAAATCACATGTCTAAATTGAGCTCATGTACATTCTGTATCCACTGGTCATTCTTGAGATGTTTCAGCAGCTTAATTGGAGTTCCAATATGGTAAATTTAGTTGATTGGACATGACTTGAAAAGGTATACACCTGTCTATATAAGGTTCCAGGGTTGACAGTGCATGTCAAAGCACAAACCAAGCATGAAGACAAAGGAACTGTCTGTAGACCTCTGAGACAGGATTGCCTCAAGGCACAAGGCTGGGGAAGGTTACAGAAAAAATTTCTGCTGCTCTGAAAGTTCCAATGAGCACAGTGGCCTCCATCATCCATAAGGGGAAGATGTTTAGAACCACCAGGACTCTTCCTAGCTGGCCGGCCATCTAAGCTGAGTGATCAGTGGAGTAGGGCTTTAGTCAGTGAGGTGATCAATAACCCATGGTCACTCTGTCTGAGCTCCAGCATTCTTCTGTGGAAAGAGGAGAACCTTACAGAAGGACAACCATCTGTGCAGCAATCCACCAATCAGGCCTGTATGGTAGAGTGGCCAGACAGAAGCCTCTCCCCACCTGGAATTTGCCAAAAGGCATCTGAAGAACTCTCAGACCATAAGCAACTACATTCTCTGGTGTGATGAGACTAAAATTGAACTCTTTGGAGTGAATGCCAGGCGTTACGTTTGGAGAAAACCAGGCACCGCTCATCACCAGGTTAATACCATCCCTATAGTGAAGCATGGTGGTGGCAGCATCATGCTGTGGGGATGTTTTTCAGCAGCAGGAACTGGAAGACTGGTCAAGATATAAGGAAAGATGAATGCAGCAATGTACAGAGACATCCTGAATGAAAACCTGCTTCAGAGTGCTCTTGACCTCAGACTGGGGCGACGGTTCATCTTCCAGCAGGACAATGACCCAAAGCACACTGCCAAAATATTATTGGAGCAGCTTTACAACAACTCAGCGAATGTCCTTGAGTGGCCCAACCAGAGCCCAGATCTATCCTATTGAACATCTCTGGAGAGATCTGAAAATGGCTGAAACAATAAAAAAGACTACTTTTTTCACATTATCATTATGGAGTATTGTGTGTAGAATATTGAGGAAATAAATCATTGAATTCATTTTGGATTAAGTCTGTAACATAAAAAATGTGGAAAAAGTGAGGCGCTATGAATACTTTCCGGATCCACTGTATATACATGCAACATATATCTTTGAAATATTAACATTAATTTGTATTTCAAATATATGAATTGGATTTACATACTTGAAAAATATAAATTAGATCTGATTAGTGCGTGTTAGAGTAGACTTTGGCCCAGTTTCACAAACAGGGCTTAGATTAAGCCAGGACTAGGCCTTAGTTAAATTAGGCTATTTAAGCCACATTTATAAAAATGGCCTCAGAAAAATATACTACTGGTGTGCACCTGGTGATAAAATATGACACTGACATATTTTAAGACATCTCACCGCAAGTTATTTTGAGTTCATTCAGCTCAAACATGCAATTTAATCTTGACTAGCCTTAAACCTTGTTTGTGAAACCGGGGGTTTGTGTGTCAAGTGATTAAATCCTACCTGTCAACATTGGGATATTAAAATACGGGATACATCCCCTAAAACCATTACAAATATGGAGAGGAAATTAGCTTCAAATGATCTAATACAAAACAAACATTAGAAAATTAAAAATAAAATAAACGGTTTAGCCTACTAAATTCCATTTACTGTTCACATCGATGTTATCAAGAGTTAAAAGTGTGTTCACTTTTTTACTTTAATTATTCAACGATTCCTCCACAGTTTAAGAACCACTTATTTAAAACAAGTGACAAAACAGTTCTTGAGGGTTTTCTTTGAGACAACCTAGTTGTTTTATGTTCAATTCTCTTAAATTTGTAAAAACAAATGAGTTGACTTAATTCCTTAATGTTGTCCCAACACAAATCGATTTTGTGGAATGCAGCATTTTACAATCTATATTACAATGTATATATACATTTTTACATTGTTAATTCTCAATAGAGTCCAAAAACACTTTCCAATTATTTTATAAAATAACCCGTTTGTGCTATTCTACCTTTAAACAGAAAGTAATGGTGTTTACATCTTCCAAATATCCATTACAATTGCTTTTTAGAGTGGGAGGGTTAAGGTTAAGGTTAGGGCTAGGTTTAGGCCAATCAGGGAAATTAGACTTTTTAGCTTTTTGTGTTTTTCAATGCATGTTTCAAAGCTCACACACTCTTTCTTCATCACTCAGGTCACAGTCACCAGCTCTTTCACATCTGTGCGGTCGTGGGCACTCATTTCCAGATGGAGGCCGCGTTATCAGACATGGCGTCCCGCAAAGACTGGCTCATATCCTACTCCGGACTGCCCACATTTCAGGGCACCATGGGGGCTCTCGCTCTGGGCGTCCTGTTAAACCTGGCCATCATTGGTGTGTTTAGCGCCAGTTTAATTCAGACTCCTCGCCAAAGCACTTCACACCCTCATCAGGAGTAACAAGCTTTCTTGAACACTCCGAACCTCACTGTGCACCTTTCCGGACGATTTTGACTTACAGAGCACTTATACAGTCACTTTCACTGATTTACAGTATATAGGCCTCTAGCATTAATACTTTTGTACTAAAAACGGTTATGCTAGATCATTTAATCTAGTTTTATTTTATTTTTTACTCACTGTTTATTATCTGAGCCGAAAACCCGATAATCGCAACCTTTCTGGGGATGTTTAACCACCGTGCCTTCGATTATTTTTATTATTTAGTTGTCTACTTGAAAGGTTGAGGGTTGAATGACGCTAATATTGATTTTCTTACAAGCTATATTCTAACATAGTTTGGGGTTTATTAACCAATATGATTGGTATATGTGTACTGGCATGTGTTAAAAGTTAGCATATCATTAACTGGAATTGGTTGAGTATAGCATTAATCAAGGGTTTTGTATTTGCATCATCATGAATAACAACATTAATATAAGTAATTCAGTTTTATGATGTTACATATTGAAATATTTGATGGTTTGGAAATTGTACATTGAAAAGTCTTGTTTGGTATTTTTGTCTTGTTATCCAACACAAATATCAATATTTGTAGTTACAAATAATTTGTTAACAGTAATTATTTTGACTAGTTGCTAAAATTTAACTTAAGCCCATAGCTAATGACCCCTACAGTTGAAGTCAGAATTATTAGCCCCCTGTTTATTTCCCCCCCTATTTTTTGTCTAGCATAAAGAATTTTTTTTAATTAAAGTAACATTTAAAGGCTTAACTAGGTTAATTAAGTTAACTAGGCAGGTTAGGGTAATTAGGCAAGTCATTGTATAACAGTGGTTTGTTCTGTAGATTATTAAAATTATTATGTTTAGAAATGTGTTGAAAAATCTTCTCTTTGTTAAACAGAAATTGGGGAAAAATAAACAAGCGGTCTAATAATTTAGGGGGGCTAATAATTCTGACTTCAACTGTATGTGTGTGTGTGTGTGTGTGTGTGTGTTACAATAACAATTAAATATTGAAATATTCAAATTGAATTTTAACTGTAGAAAGCTCCTAAATTGGCCAATTTTACTATTATTTGACTTAATAATAGTATTTTTGCTTCTCAGTTAAATGTATTTTCATTTGTAAAAAAAAATAGATAACAGTAATTAGTAACTAGAAATCAAGACAAAAATACTAAGAAAGAAACACATTTTTTTGTAATGTTTACTGTCGAGTGGGTGTTATTTTACCCCTTTTAAACCTGTATTTGTAACGTCCCTCATTAGCATCATTTAAATATGCTATAAATCCTCCCAGGTACAATTACAAATGAATAGTAGGTGAAAAGCCCTGTGTTTCTGAAAGAAAAAGGTCATATTATGAAGGATAAAGCTTGTCTAAGTATCATCCTCCTACTAAACTGCATCTCGTGGTAATATGGGGCCGCACTGGAGTCATTCAGATGTTTCTAGACGTCTGAAGAACAGCACATCAGGTCACATTTCTGTGCTATTGTTTTGTTCATTGCAGGTTTATGACATACAATACACTCTGTTTATACTGCAGGTTTTTAGCTTTTATAAGTTTGTCAGTGCACTTGTCAGTTCTCAAAATAGACGTATTGCTCATGTAACACTTGGGTTTTTATTCTTAAACCATTTCCTGTGGCTTTTAACCTCATTTTGTACCTCATTTTGTCATGCTGCACAGGTACGTCGGCTTATAATTCAGTGCAATTAATGCTGCATAAAGGCTATAGTTTTGCAGAACCTTTTCTAACAAGCTCTTAATAAGGTGGTCATGTGGTTGGAAGGATGTTTTAATTGGTGTTTATTAAAGGGATTTTGGGTTAAAAAGGAAAAGCAGGTGTTTTAGTGGTTAGCGGTGGAAAGGTTCTGAGTTTGTATAGTTGGACAGTAGATATTCTCGCTCGCACACCGTTTGCTTGGAGTAGGTGTGAGTGTTTTTTTTTTTTTCAAACTGTTCTTCTGCTCAAAGAGGTTTAGACGTGAATGTGAGTGGTGACAATTGTATTTGTGCACTAGAATTCAAAGAAATGTCAAAGGTTTTGGCATCCCAATCCCTGTGTTTGTTGGCCCAAATGAATGTACTGCAGTTTTGAAAACTGCTTTTTTTAATGTTACGATGTAGCATTTAAAACTACCAAGGAAATTAAAATAATACTTTTTTAAAGTGTTCCATATATATTTTTATTTTATATGAGTCCCTTTAAATTGAAATATGCAAGCATTACAGTGCCTTTTGTTTTCGTTGTCAGATTTGAAATGTTTTTGTAACAAATGTGAAAAATATGAAAGAGCTTAGAATTAAACTGACTCATTGTTCACTACTGTGGTTGTCCAGATATTGTGTTGTCATTGATTACATTGAAAAAAGGGGGGTAGTAATTTCAGTAGTAGTTTGGTAATACATGCTTCAGTGAATCAAATTTTAAATAACATCTAATTTACTAATAGAATGTACAGTTGAAGTCAGAATTATTAGCCCCCTTTTGATTTTGATTTTCTTTATTAAATATTTCCCAAATGATGTTTAACAGAGCAATGACATTTTTACAGTATGTCTGATAATATTTTTTCTTCTAGAGAAAGTCTTATTTGTTTTATTTCGGCTAGAATAAAAGTAGTTTTTAATTTTTTGAAAACCATTTTTGGGACAAAATTATTAGCCCCTTTAAGCTATTTTTTTTCTGATAGTCTACAGAACAAACCATCATCATACAATAACTTGCCGAATTACCCTAACCTCATAGTTCACCTTATTAACCTAGTTAAGCCTTTAAATGTCACTTTAAGCTGTATAGAAGTGTCTTGAAAAATATCAAGTAAAATATTATTTACTGTCATCATGACAAAGAGAAAATAAATCAGTTATTAGAAATACGTTTTTAAAACTATTATGCTTAGAAATGTGCTGAAACAATCTTCCCTCCATTAAACAGAAATTGGGGGGAAAAAAAACGGGCGCTAATAATACAGGGGGGCTAATAATTCTGACTTCAACTGTATACATTCTCAATGTTTTAGAGGTTACTGTAGGTCAAACTATACAAGTTATGTGTCCATTTTCTCTTTTTTTTAGGCTACATGCAAATATAAACACTTATTTTACAAGAAACGGGATTTGTAAATACTTAAGATGTCTATCGTTGCACTAGAACTGTTATAGATGGAATTACAGGGGAGTTTAGGGGGATCTTTTTTGATGCCCTTTTAACGGGAATCAATCCCCTATAGCGGGGTCAATCCCCCCCAAAACTCCCCTGTTATTTGCTCCATTTTACACATGGAACTATTCCTGAAAAGTCCTTGCTTTAGGGGAGCGTGGTGCACAAAGTAACGCGGGGTAAAATGTTTTAAGGTATTTGCTCAGGATTAACCATGGCATGCTTCCAAGTTTTTCACCACAGTGTCGGAAGATGTCTTTCTGCCAATTATTGAAAAAGTTTGGCAAAATTTGGAGGAGAAACAATTATTGCAGCATAATCGTATTTTTGGTTATAGTCGATTTATTTATTTATTTATTTTTAAATCTGAAAAAGTATGTATATGTACAATTTTATATTGTTGTGATTACCGTCTTTTAGACTAAAAGATGGAATTACTTTAAGCGATGTAAAACATTTACATTTAGTCATTTAGCAGACGCTTTTATCCAAAGCAACTTACAAATGAGGACAAGGAAGCAATTTACACAACTATACAAGCAACAATTAATAAGTGCTCTAGGCAAGTTTCAGGTATGCAAAGAAAGTGTAAGAAGCAAAACAGTAGTAATATTTTTTTTTTATTAATGTTGTTAGAGAGGGAATTGCAGATTAGTAAGGAAAGTGGAGTTCTGAGGAAAACCCGACGCAGCGGGGTTAGTTGTAACGGTGTTACAATTAAGCCACACACTGTTGGACACCAACTAAACTAACAAAATAATTGTTGAACTTTGAGTGTAATGTTAAGAGCTTTTTATATAAAATGTTTTTAAGAGAAAACAAAATAAAATGTATTGCTAGTAATGCAAATAAATACATTGTATAATAATGGATAATAATCCAAATAAATCAAAATGTGTTTATCCAATAGATAAATAAATAAATAAACTTACTGTGCTATGTAGAATAAAAATAAATTGAGCTAAGTATTGAGGAAATACAGCTACTATTAAAAGTAAACAGAAATTAAACTAACTGTGTGAAAAGCATTTGTACTACTAACCCTCTGCCTGTTACAACTTGACCCACAGGTTGGGTAAATAGTCCAATTTTTACTGTTGGCACTTTTGGCAATACTGCACGGAAACCATAGGTTTGGTGATCGTACAACCACTGCTCATTTGTAGGAGAGGCTTGTGTGTTATTGGTAAAAAAAAGAAATATGGTTTGTCTAAGCCCACTACTTTGTTCATTATTAGGCCAAAACCAAAAAGTGTTACTTTGTGCCCCGCTCTCCTCTATACCATATCACACTACAAACTATGTTGGGCAAAGCAGCTACTTTACAGTATTATATTGCAATCTTTAAAAAGGTAATTAATTGGTTATGTGATGTATTATTTTGTTGTTAAAAAACGTCTAGTAACTTTACAACCAACCAACATTTAGCTGCTGCTATACATTATCTCCTTTGTAGTGATTATCTTCACCAACAGAGGGGGCTACAGCGAGCTTTGATTCCTCTGCCGCGTGTCCCTGCTATGAACTGAACCTGCCACCTGGACTAATCAAGAGAGGAAAGTTGACACTTTTACTAATGTTTGAAGGTAATCCTCAATGTTGATGGTAAAATTATATCGTTTGTCTTTGTTAAATATCAGCGCCTGGACAGTTGCGATGATAAACTTTCCAGAATGGTTAGTTATTGGAAATTAGTAGCTTAATTCAGCTATTGACTGCTTACCTAACTAGAACCATACATGACTCGATTAAAAAAAGAATGTATTATCGACTGAACAATTACACCATCGTTTTTCCTTATATAAAATATCATATTTTGATATTTCCCTCAAAATGAGCCTGAAATGTAAACAATGAACCTCATTGAAATACTACAGATCAATTTATCCTACAAAAGCGCAAACGTAAAAATATGTAAAATATTTTACGTTAATAAGCTAGTTGAAAGGAAAATACATATTCAGTTCACATTTCACAAAACAAGATCATATTTAAAAAAATATTAATATGTTATATACAAAATGTATATGCAGTTTATGTTTATTGCATGTCTATTTAATTTCTAATATGCTGTGAATTGTGATAAAACCGTTTGGGCCACTCAACATCATCATAATCAGTGGTGGAAAGAGTACTGAAAAATCACTCTATTAAATGTACCATTACTTGCCCAAAATATAGTGCAAGAAGAGTAAAAGTATCTGTTGTAAACATTACTCAAAGTAGGAGTCAAAAATAGCTGTTTTAAAAGTAATCAAGAGTAGTTAGTAGTGAGTATTACACTGTGAAAAGTTGATGCGTTTACATGCATTTTGTACAG